TATGGAAGATCCTGGGGGGGGGGGGGGAGTCACAATCCCCAAGGCTTTCAAAAATCATTCCTGTTGCATTTTTTTCTATTGGGCAAATGTGTTTGAGTCACCCAAAGAAAAAGGAACAGGCGGTTGAGATGGCTCAATAATGTGAGCCTGTGAGTGGCAGGCTGGGGAAGTTGCCCATATGAGCATGACCTTTGAGGAACTGGTGGGCAGGCGGTGGCTGGGACTGGAGAACAGCCTGCTGAGCCGAAAGAGCTAGGGTTAAGAGGACAAATGTCAAAGGGTTTCTTTCATACATGGAATCTAGATTTTATACACATACACATATATACCATGAAAAGTGGAAGGGGCCTTTGGGAGAAGGGGAAGATGGAGAGGAAAAGGTACAGTCAGTACACGAAATATTGAATGACAACTTGTTATTATTAAGCCAGCACTTTATACAAGGTACACAGACTAGTAAAATGTGTTACAATGTTTGGAGTGCCAACATTATGGATCCAGCCATGCCTGACACCTTGCCTACCTGGCTATGAGGAACTGAACTCTGAACCGAGTCAGAATAAACCCTCTTCCTTTGAGTTGCTTTTGCCGAGTATTTGCTCAAAGAGAAGAGAAACTAATGCACCAATGGTGGTAGTTCAAGTGTGAACAACACACCCAGCTCTCTGTTTGAAATATTTTACATACATAGTCTTCCAAGCTGGGCCCTGTGTTGTGCCCAAGTCCCAGTTCCTCAGGAGACTAAGGTTTAAATTTTTACAATGGAGCCTGTCTTGGAAAAAAAAAAAAAAAAAAAAAAAAACAAAAAAATTAGTCCCCCCTGTACTCACGTAGTGATAGCAGAGAGCCAATTTCTAGAAGTTGTCCTCTGACCTCCACATAAGCACTATGGTACAGGCATGTGCACTCAGGAGTGTGTACACATGTTACATGCACACAAATACAAACACAATAAATTTTTTATTTCTGTTTTAATATTTAGCAGGGCTGAGAAGATGTTTCAGTGGGTAAAGCACAAGTCTTATGACCTGAGTTTGAGTCCCCAGCACCACTAAAGCAATCATGGTTGCATGAGTCTACAATTCCAGTTCTCCTACAGATAGATGGGAGGCGGAAACAGGAAAGCCCAAAGGCAGGGAGCTGGACACACGAATAGCTGAGAAACACAGACCCTGTCTCGAGACAGAAGGCAAAATGACATCGGACACCTGATGTTGCCCTCCAACCTCCACACATGAAATATGGCACACATGTCCATCCACACTCATCGCACATACATCATACATACACGAAGAAGAAGAGCACTTTAAAGACTAGCTACCAAGTTAAAACATGGTGGCACACTGCCATAATCCCAGCACTCAGGAGGCTGAGGCAGGAGGATCATGAATTGGAGTCCAGTCTGGGCAGTAGAGTAAGACATATTCTCAAAACCAAAAACAAATTAGCTGCCAAGTGAACATACGTAGTACCGAGGCAACAGCGGGTTTATTAGCCGTATGAATGAGTAAAGCTAGCTGGCAACTCTCTTAGAGTGGCAATATTTATTGTTGGTTATTTCCAGGGAGTACCTGACTCAAACGTACAAAAAGCCCCATAAGCTGGTACCCAGTCCCAGGTAAAACCTCTGTGTGGCATGAATGTCACTCCATTTGGAAGTAACTGGTTATTCCTCTAGAAACTAGAAACTAGAACTAACAGCCTCTCCCACATTCCCAGCCTCTTCTGACACCAAGAGTGCCTTCTCCTTGCAGCCATACCAGCCTATCCCACCCCCTGAAACACCATGCTCCCCCCCCCCCACACACACCTATTTTATTCCATTTAGGCCTCTTTTCCTTTCTCTCCACTGACTTAACCACTTCTCATCCTCAGATCTCGTGACAGAGCTGCTGCCTTCCCCTGAGTCTTGTATGTTACAACACATCTGTGTATTATCTCCTTGACAGGGTAAAGTGGCATAAGAGCAGGCTCACATCTGTGCATCTTCTTCCTCTTTAGAAAGATCTGTGTGCATCATGTGGGTACAGATAATGAAACCGGAAAGGGGACTGTGAGACTCAGAAATTGGTGTTGTGGGGGAGGATGTGGCAGAGGGCAATAAAACACCCAGTGGGATGTAGACACAGAAAGGCACTGACTAGAAGGGAAGGGCCCGTGGGAGGGGAACACAGGGAGGAGGGAGGAGAATCAAAACATTTAGTTTGAAAATGTAACATTGAGATGGAAGTGTGTGCTGATTAAAAATAACTTTTTAAATTGTATGGGCATTGGGATGGCTTAGCAGGTAAAGGTACTTAACCACCCATACACTGTTTAACATCAGTTTAATTCCCAGTCCACAGTAGGAGAGACTGACTCCCCAAAGTTAACTTCAGACCTCCATGAACATACCATGGCACACTTGCCTGAAACTCACTCTCCCTGCACATACCCACTAAATACATGTGAAAGAAACTGAAATGTCCACAAAACAGTCTCACAACCTTTTATTTTGAAAACCTTCTAAAGCAAGACAGAATAGTTTATTGCTTCCCCTACCTGTCATTAACTCTAACTTCCCACCATGACCACAGCCAGAACTTCGTCACTAACATGGCTGAAAGTCTATTCTAATCCAGCATCGAAACAGAGATCTCACAGCACAGCTTTATACTTTATCTCTCCCGGTATGTGACTGTCCTAGGTCTTCCCTTATTGTTTCTGGCCGTGGCAACCTTGCAGAGCTGTTCCGGGCTGTCTGATCACGGCTATATTGAAATCTCGGAGAAATGACACATGTCCTTCAATAATTGTTCTTTTTATAGGATTTTGTCTTGTTTTTGACATAGGATCTCAACTATGGCCCAGGCTAGCCTTGAATTTAAAATCCTCGAAGGGCTGGATTGCAAGAGTGAGCCATCACACCCCACTTTTGGATACTTGCTCCTATGCTGTTTGATCCTAGGCTTAGCATCCACATGGGATTCTTGCCTGTGACATTTACTCCTGAGGCTGTTGATTTTTCTCTATTTCTGTTTTTCCTTAGGGTTCCACTGTATACAGGACTTTATTATATGTTCTTATTTAAAAGGTTCAAACAAATTATTGTCATTTTCTGTTACTCAAATTGACCAAGATTTAGTCACTAGGTTGCTTTCAGATTGGCTCCAAATTAGCCTTGATCCCAGCACCCTGGAGTCAGAGGCAGGTGGATCTCTATGACTTCAAGGGCAGCCTGGTCTACAGAGAGAGTTCCAGGCCAGCCAGGGTTATACAGTGAGACCCTGTCTCCAAAAGTGTGTGTGTGTGTGTGTGTGTGTGTGTGTGTGTGTGTGTGTGTGTGTAGTGGCAGAGGCATATACTTGAATCACACACCTGTAATTCCAGAAGCTGAGAATGGAGAATCTGGAGGATCAGTTACTCTCAGCTTTCACAGGTTTGAGACTAGCATGGACTACCTTGAGATTCTCTCCCAAAATGAAACAAACATGAGAGAAAAAATACACACCCAGAAATAAAAACCTACCTTGCAGACAGGGCATAGTGACACACACCTTTAATCCCGGTATTCGGGAGGGTGTATTGTTATGGAATATTATTTTTAAATGTGTTAATTCATTTGTAATGTGGAAAATTTGTTTAACGATGCAAAGATGTGTTGCATTCTTTTATGTTGCATTTGTTTGTCTCTCTGAAGCTGTGCTACTTTGCCTGTCTAAAACACCTGATTGGTCTAATAAAGAGCTGAATGGCCAATAGCAAAACAGAAGAAAGGATAGGCGGACCTGACAGGCAGAGAGAATAAACAGAAAAAAAGAGAAAAAAGATCAAGGGGCAAGAAGAGGCCAGCCACCCAGCTACACAGCCGAACAGAGAATAAGAAGGAAAGAAAAGATAGACAGAAATAGAAAAAGGTAAAAGCCCAGAGGCAAAAGGTAGATGAAATAAATTAAAAGCTGGTAAGAAACAAGCTAAGACTGAGTATTTATAATAAGCCTGTGTGAGGCAGTTTGGGATTTGGGGATGACAGCCACCAACTGGCTCACTCAGCATATTAAACTTGAGTTTCTTTGATGCCTTGAATTTATCCAACAGTTCATTGGTTTAACAAACCCAAAACATTTCATTAAGAAACTGTTTCAAAAGTTTGCACTGCCCGTTTTTTCTTGCTCCACCCCTCTTGGTAAGACAAAAGGGAGAAGAGCTCAGAGAACCCCAACTGCTCCACTTTGATTTTGTGACATGGGGATCCTTGGAAGACCTGTGTGAGGTCCCTAAGGAGACCATACCTCCTGTGTTGAAGGGAGAGCTGGGCTGAGATGTGTCTGCTCTTGCAGACAGTGCGTTTGTATCAGGAACTGTGTACACTAGGTCCTGTTCCCGTCCACAAGCTGAGCCATATTTACATAATCTAGACTGTTTTCTTAGGTTCTGTACTTTTATAGCCTATTTTTGAAGATTAACACATTTGCAAGATGATTGACTGGATCTTTGCCTAAATCCAGCATGTGTACAGGAACCTCAAAGAGATGATAACTGTAAATCTTGAAAGGGGAGGTTATACACAATAGGGGGCAAAATTAAACCTGTATTTTAAAAAATCGCCAAATCTATTAGAAAACAAGTCAATGGTGTAATGCTGAAATTTTGGGAGCTTTCAGATTCCTCTATTTACATTGTCTGAACACATAAAAATACCAGGTATTTTTTGTTTTTAAACAGCCCTTTGTACTTCACAGTGTGTTCTTGTCATCAGTATTAACTCTTGGGACACTACTGGCAGGAAACTCTAGACTAAGGAATGTAAAATCGTATGGATTGCTCAGGCTCAGTCAATCAGAGCAAAGCAGAAATCCCAGCTGCTGCTGAGATGAACAGAAGCACCCATGTTTGGTGATGCCTGGACTCCCCTGTACTACCCACCAAGTCCTCCCACAGCAATAGCCCACCACAAACAACCTTCCAAAACACCCAGCCATACTCAGTGAAGCGGGCAGTCAAGAAAAGGAGGGCGCTCAGCAAGTTAAAAAGGTTTATTGTCAGCCTAGGCTTCCAGTCCATAGCCTGGGCTGCCCAAGGCTCGGGAAGTTGTCATGGTGCAACCTGATGTGGGGTCCACTCTCTTCGTGGGACTCCTGTTCCACATGGTGGCTTCTGGGGGACCCACTCCAGTGTGAACCCCTATACCCTGACAGTGATGTGCTCTGAGGCTGGCACAGGGCCCAGTTCTCAGAGGCCACCTGGCCCTGCTCTAATGCTGGCTGAGGGCAGACACCATGGACCTGATCCTGAAGAGGGAAGAGATGATGCCAGATAACTTGAGACTGAGAAGATGTAAGAAAACGGCCACCCGTGAGCCAGACAGCCCCCAGACAAATCCCATGTGGCCCCTTAAGCTTATACAGTTTATAAAAAAAAAATTGTTACCAACAGTTAAAAATTCTAAGATTTCATATAAAAATCTGGGTTTGGGGCCTAAGGGGGGGAAATACTGTGAATGTCAGGAAACATTCTTTACATGGCACTTACTGGTCCTGGCCATCTGGCACCAGCACACCTGTGCTATTGGATTTGGGGTCTTAGTTCTTGTCTGATATAAGGAATGTCATCCATTCCTTGTATGTGTAACCTGCCAAAAAGGAAAAGTGAAAGCCATGCCTGGAAGCGATTGCCTCAGCTCCCTAGATCTTCTGCTTGGCCCTGCAGGCACCTGGACTTTTACAGAGCTTAATGGAGCTTGTCCATCATAACTCCCACGGGGTTTCTGCCACACACCACCCTGCCTCTAGTGGATCCATCAGCCCCTGTGTTAGCTAGGCAAGCTGAGAAGAGAATGCAATTAATCATGGAAGCTAATGGGGGGGGCAGACTAAGATTATCTAGGCCTCTTTGTAGGAGGAGAAGTTTAGGGTGGAATGAGAAAGGTTAACAGGGTTATTCTGGTTTTAAGTTGGAGACTAAAAAAGGTGTGTGTGTGGGGGGGGGGGGAGGATAACTTCAGGAAGCCAAGGTTGGGTCAGTTTGAACTTAAACTTAAGATTCCCCAAACATGTTGGTTCCCATTCCTTAACTGTTTTGGACAGGAAAGAAACTCTTAGGAAGCCATAGGGGTGGGAAAGAGCACAGCTCACAGCCCAGATGTCAGGACCCATCTGGTCCATCATCTTCCCTCGGGTCAGATTGCATAGTGATTTGCAGAGAGGGTAGAACTGTAGGAGAATGGAGCTGGAGGCGGGCATGTCTGGGTCCTGGAACACAGAAGAAGAGGCAATGTCTTCCTGGTGCCCCTTCATTCTGTGGTGGCTGTCACCAGGCTATCGACCCTTGAGAGAGACAGCCATCTTGATGCAGCCCAGGCGCTTCCCATGGCTACTCAGGACACTCTGGATGCGGTAGTTTCCGGTGCTCAGCCAGCTTGGCAGCTCCAGGTCAGGCACTGTGAAGTTGCTTGTGGGCAGTGAGTAGGTGCCCTGGGGGAGAGGAGGAGGGGGAGGGGGAAGAAGTGAGCCTAGGTTAGCATGGCCTACTGCCTACAGCTGTGATCCGGCCCCTCTTCCCATTCTGCTAAGAGCCAGGAGTGCCGCCATAGCCCTTTTCCAGGTTGAGTAAGTATAAAGAACACCAGTGGTCACTTCTAACAGTTGCCCCATTCCACAGATGGATAAAGCAAAGCCCCTGGCTTCCAACATAACAGTTCTCATATACCTATAAAAGAAGCAATATACATAATGGGAAGGCCATCCCCTCTCTCACTCTGCCACAGGAGTGACATTAGAGCCTTGACACCCCAAGTACTCACTTCCTTGAAGGGACAGTGGCAGGGCAGCCCATAGCTGTGCAGGGGCTCCGGGCAGGGCTCTCCAGGGGGGAAGTATTCGTCCAACAGTTGACAGGAGTCCTCGTAGGTACAGCTGCCTAGCTGTTCTACACAAGGGATCTTGACCCAGAAGCCAGCCACTTCCTTCTCCACCGTGAGCTCCACCTGTCACAGGATTTGACCAAGGCGATAGTGTGAGCTCCAGGGCACACATTCCAGCCCCTGCCTCTTGTAGTTTCATCTCATAGTCAGCTGCAATAAGGCTCATAGGCCAATCTCAGAGTAAGCTATACATTTCCATTGTTGGTTTGGTTTGTTTTTTTTTTTTTTTTTTTTTTTTTTTGAGACAGGGTTTCTCTGTATTGCTTTGGAGCCTGTCCTGGCACTCACTCTGTAGACCAGACTGGCCTCTATCTCAGAGATCCGCCTGCCTCTGCCTCCCTAGTGCTGGGATTAAAGGCATGAGCCACCACCGCCCAGCCATTTCCATTAGTTTATTTGAGGCAGGGTTTATACCAGCGTGGCTTTGAACTTGCAGTTCCCATGTCTCTTACTCCAGGGTACCACGAGGGGGAGAGGTTTGGTTTGGGGGAGGGTGTTCTCACTCAGTCCCAGGATTCACCTTTCCTGAGCATGTGGTGAGCACTGATCATCAAATGTCCCACAAATCATCTTCCTGTTGTCACTGTCCAATGTCACTATCCACTAGCTGGCTGACTGTGGTACATGTCCCAAGTGGGCCTGCCTTCCAGGTCTTAGCTATAGGATCTTTCTCTATGTTGGCTGTTCCTGGCTCACTCATATTTTCTCTGTTGCCCCACAGACAGCAGGGTTATGAATGGAAATGTAGCTAGGCCCAGCAGTGCACACCTGAAATCATGGTACCCTGGGAGAAAGAAAAGGCAGGGGAACTGTGAGTTCAAGGCCAGCCTGGTCTACATATCTAGACCCTGTCTCAGACAAACAAATCAAAGGAAATGTGTGAAGAGCTTACTCTGAGATTGGTCTATGAACCTTATTGCAATTGGTTACAGGAGCTGAATGACCTCCCCCAGACTCACCTAGGTAAGAAATCTAGAATGTTCTTCCCACTGCCAAGCTACCCTGATCCCACTCCTGTTCTAATGGCCACCTACCTGATTGAGAAGAAGCAGCCAGGACTCCCAGGCAAATAGCCCAGTTGCACTTGACATATTGAGAAGATTAACTGTATCAGTTGTCATAAATGCCTGTTATCTCTCAGAGACATATCTATGTTTCACCAAGGCCAGCAAGGGAAAGGTGCAGAGTGGACAGCAGGAAGTTGGCATTCCACACATGGTTCCTGTGGATGTTACAGGACACTGTGTGTATGTGTGTGTGTGTGTGTGTGTGTGTGTGTGTGTGTGTGTGTGTGTCACCATCCACTTTGTTTTTTAAGTCAGGGTCTCTTGCTGATTCATCTGGGCTGGTTTGCCAGGGATCCCCACATCTCCACCCCCTCAGGTCTAAGGTGCACACTATATCATGCCAGGCTTTTTACATGGGTTCCGGGGATTGAACACAAGTGCTAATGCTTGCACAGGAAGCATGATGTTAGATAAGCCATGTCCCCAACCAAGAAGCCACTGTTTTCAGCTCAGATATGCTAGCGACCTACAGTCTCAGCCTCATTTTATTTGAGGGTTTCACTTTCATGCTGTTTGTTTGGATTTTGATGTTTTTCAAGCAGGACTTTATGTGGCTCAAGCTGGTCTGAAACTTTCTGTGTAGCATAGAATGACCATGACCTAATTCTCCAGCTTCCTCCTCCTAGATGCTGGGATTAATTACAGTTGTGGGCCATCACCCTGGTAAGGGTTCTGTTTCTGAGAAATAAATCTTGGTATGGTCCTTATTCCTCCAGACTCCACTAGAGTCAGCCTCCTGCTGAATCTCCAAACGCCCTAGTGTCAGAGCTGTCTTCTTCAAGGCTGAGAAAGGGTGACATCAGCATGGCTGACTCCTGTTTGCCTCACTGATCTGCTCTGCTAATAGGAGTCCACCTTGATTGTATAGTCCCCTTCCCTCCAGCTTGCCTTCCTCCTCTGGGCAAGTCTACTCCTAGTCAGATCAGGAACACCTAGAGGGCCTGGGTTGGAAGGTCAGTTCTGCCCCTGAGGGAATTAGTCAACTTCCTTCAGCCTCTACTTCCTCAGCTCCAAGAGTGGGATGTACAGGCTGGCCTCAAACTCACATCCATTCGCCTGCCTGTCTCCCAAGTGCTGGGATTAAGGGTATGTACCACTATTCCCAGTTCTAGACCAGAGACAGAGGCACTGCTGACAGGACCCAAGACCCTGCCTTGGGATGGCAGGCACTTGGCTGAGGCCCTTGGGTACCCACTCCTAACATGTGCCATTATGCCATTATTCCTCCACCTGGACAGAGCTGTGTCTAGATCTCATATCACAAGGAGACACATCAGGGCCAAGGGTCTAAGCATCAGCAGGGCTGTGGTAGAGCCCACCTTTAGTCCCAGCACTTGGGAGGCAAAGGCAGGTGGATTGCTGAGTGGGAGGCCAGCCTGGTCTACAGAATGAGTTCCAGGACAGCCAGGACTACACAGAGAAACCTCATTTCAAACAAACAAACAAACAAACAAACAGCACAGTTAAAAACAATCAGGGCCGAGGAGATGGCTCAGTTGGTAAAGTGCCTGCCAGGCAAGCATGAGGGCCTAGGCGACTTCAGATCCCAGAGCCCAGGTGAAAGCTGGGTGCAGTGGTGCAGGCCAGCACTGGAGAGGCAGAGGCAGGCAGATCCTGGAGCTCACTGGCCAGCTACCTAGCTGGACCGTCGAGCTGCAGGCAAAGAAGCACAGTGAGACCCCCATCTCAAAAACTAAGGTGGAGAGACTGTGGAGAACACCAACATGGACCTCTGGCCACCACATTCGCACTCCCCCCCCACCCCCCACCCCCCCACCCCCACCCCCACCCCCACCCCCGATTCAATAATGACAGCAGAGAAGTGGCATTTACATCATACTGGCAGACTTATAGTCCAGCAGCCTGTCTGCCTTTCTGATTTGGACACATTCTGTCCTTGTATCCATGGGGCTTGGCCTCCTACTATTGGGTAATAGCTGAAGAAAAGGTACTGGCCCAGCAAGGGGAAGTCACTGGCAGAAGTGGAGAGGTACTTAGACTCCTACGGGTCTTCTAACTCAAGTGGTAGCAGGAAGACTGACAGTGATTGACAAGTCAACAAGTACCAGCATGGACGGAGCCCATCCTGTGTGCTAGGCTCTCAGCAAAGCACCGTCTACATTACTGATTAGCTCAGTTCTTGTTTAAGAGATGCCTAAGATGCAGGAACTGTGATTGGGCCCAACAGCTCAGGCTGGTCTCGAACTGGCTGTGAGACTGAGGATTGCCTTGAACATTTGAGTTTCTTGTACTTCCTCCCAAGTACTAGAATGTACAGGTGTATATCACCATGCTCAGCTCCCAAGAATCTTTTAAATAATCCAAGACCAAACTTATTCCAGAATAGGTCTGGACCAGGATGAGACTGCAGGGCACATAAGAACATCCTAGAAAGGTAGTGATTCTAACCAGACAATAAAGAACTACAATACCATAAGAAAATTTATAAACGCATGGAAAAATGGGCAATAAGTGGGAATAAGCTAGCATTCCCAAATAAATATAAAAAGCAAGTGAACTGTGAAAGAAACATTTGTGCTCATAAGGGACGACATAAAGCCCTGGCAAAGACTCTTTGAACAAGCTTAGTATCAAAAAAAAAAAAAAAAAAGTGTAGGAAAATAAAATGTAGCTGTCAGTTTAGGTACAAGCCTGGTTTGGTTGTTTGGAGACATTTTGGCTCAGCAGGTCAAGGTGTTTGCCATGTAACCTGAGTAGCCTGGCAATCTGAGTTCCCACCCCAGTACCCACAACAAAAGTGGAAGAAGACAACTAGCTATACAGCTTTGTCCTCTAACCTGTTTGTGCCCACTGTATCAAGTGTGCCTCCCCCCACATATCATATACATACACAATAATAAAAATAAAATTAATGAGAAGCTACATAATCACAAAAGTATAAATAGAACATTATAAGGATAAATTCTAGCCTTGCACGGTATCTCCAAATTGATCATATTGTTTCATTAGTACAAATGTGTGCCAGTTCTGACAGGACTCATAACAACCAACAGTGACTAGCCATTGGGGGTTTAGACTACAAGATGACATCTGTACGAAGGTTGGCATGGTGTAATGCCAGTTCTCAGAAGAATAGGAAGTTCAAGGCCATCCTCAGTTACTTATATTAAGTTTTGAGTCAGCCTGAGCTACCAAGACCCTGGCTCAAAAGAACAGAAACAAGGCTGGGGGTATGGCTTTGGCAGAGAGCTTACCTGACATTCATGAGAGATCCTGGGGTCCATCTTAGAACTGGCAATAAACTAGGTGTAGTAGAACAGTTGTGACCTAAGTACCCCAGGCAAGAGGCAGGAAGGCTAGGAGCTCACAGCGACATAGCAAGTTTAAGGTCAGCTAAGGTTACATGAGGCCCTTCCTCGAACCAATACACACACACACACACACACACACACACACACACACACACACACACACACACACTCAAAGCATTACTTGTTTTCATATATATCCATTAAAAATAAATACACACAGTATGGATAGTGGACCTAGCATTCATCATCTGGCCATGAAGTTTCCACGTGATTTGTTTTTATTTTCTTCCTTTTGCAATCACCTGTATTTTCTTTTTCTTCCCCCACCTTTTCTTTTTCTTCTTGGTGGAAATGTGGTCGTTGTCTTTTGGTTTTGCTTTGAGACAGGTTTTCTCTCTTTCTATGTGGTTTTGGCTAGCCTGGAATTATGTATACTAGACTGGCCTCACGGAGATCTGACTGCTTCTTCTGCCTGAGTTTCCCTTCCATCCCCTGACCCAAGATCCTATGAACCTGGGTAAGTCTGTGAAATCTGAACCCTTGAGTGAGCATGCACCTCCTGCAGCAGCTGCTGGCTGCCCACTCCCTGTGCCTCTTCCCCTCGCCCAGGGCTCACCTTCTGAGGAGAAGTGAGGGGGACGCTGGTCTTGCCCTCAACACTGACAATCACATCTCCAGGAACGACAATGGGATCAGGTTCGAGCGTCAGGCTTTTGATCACTGCAGGGTCCTTTCCTTCATCACAGTTATCCCAGGAGAAGCTGCTGAATCGGGAAGGCTAGGGACAATCAGACAGCAAAGGGGAGAAAAAGAAGTGTTTAGGTGCAGAAGAGTTGGAGACCTGCACATGCCCTTCTGAGCCCCATAGTAACAGTTACATTTGTCTGATCCAAAGGCAGTCTCCCCAAGTGAGACTGAGGCCCATTAAACCAGACCTTGAACTTCAAAACTAATGGGGGCTGGGATGTAGCTCAGTTGGTAGAATGCTTGCCTGGCATATTGGAAACCTTAGGCTCTGTCCCTAGCACTGCACAAACCCAGTGTGGTGACATAGACAATGTGTGGGAGATGGATGCAGGAACAACAAGAATTCAAGATCACCTTCAACTAGATAGCCCATCTTAGGCCAGTCTTACTACATAAGACCCTGTCTTGGGCAGGGGAGCAAAGACTTAGCTGGGTGTGGTTGTGCAAGGCCATAATGTAAACACTCAGGCTGAGGCAAGATGATGGAATGTTTGTGGTCACTCTAGATCAGCCTAGGCTACAAGGAAAAATAGGAAGAATTGAAGGAAGAGAGGGAAGGAGGGAGGAAGGAAGGAAAAAGAGGGACGGAAGGAGGGAGGGGGGACTCACCCCTGGTATAAAAAATCACTGGCATCTGAGAGAGGAGGATTCATTATTTGGAGGGGGTACTCACAGATAAACAACAACCTAAACTGTGCACTTATGGGCATCACTATTCAGTGGGTTACTAAAAGGAAGAGGAGGAGGTGAGGATGGTAGGCAGATGTGCTGGGTGATTGAAAGGGAAAGTGGAGATTGTACTGAAGATGATCTAAATATATTATATACAAGTTGTCAATGAGTAAATGAAATATTCCTTTAACAAATGGAATCAACCCCACCTAGCTTTGGGGGTACCTCCACTAATTTCCCACCCTCCTGCCACCCATTTCTCTCCAGCCAGCTTTAGGCCACCACAGGACAAGCTCCTGAAAGAGTCACTCTTGTGTTGAGCCTGGTCATGTCCCATCCCATGTCCAATCCAAGGCCAGCAACAATGGGGAAGTCATTAACACGGGGCGGAGGGAACAACAGTAACCCAAGCCTCACCCTTCAGGGAACAGGACCCATAGAACGAGATCTACAGGGGTCCCTCAATGCTGAGCAATCCCAGGAAATGGCTTTCCCATCTCACAAGCACATTCTTACTCCGATATCATGATCCACATCATATCCCCAACCTGAGTCACCCCACCACTCCTCTACCAAAGCCCGTCCCTAATCTCCCTCCATGTGCCCTAGGTCCAACTCATGTGACCACCCTCACCCCAGGACCTCAGGATCTGGAATTCAGTCTACACCTCCCTTCCCCTCTCCTCTCTCCCTTTCTTCCTCCTGTATACGCTCACACACCTCAAAAGCCATGTACAAGTACCCTTAGTGTTGCCATTATCTACTCATGGCCTTTGAAAACCTGCCAATCCTGCATCCCAGCCTGGCCTCTGTCTTAACAAACCCACAGCTGTCTGGACCCAGGAACACCTGATCCAAATTAGGCCACAGCTTCTCTCTGCCTGATTTTGGAATTAAGACACAAGGAGCTGTGTGTGACCCTATAACATGAGGCTTAGCACTATCCTGGGTCAAAAGTTTTAATCTGGGTTCCAAACATGTACACAAATAAGTTTAAGAGCTGAGACTAAGGCCTCTTCTGTCCCATGAAAAAGGAACACAGAGTCAGTTGCCTACACAATCTACTCCAACACTAAAGGAGCCAGGCATAGTGATATACACCAGTAATCCCAGCATTTGGGGTGGGGTGTGGGGGCTGAGGCAAAAGGATTTCAAGTTTGAAGCCAGTTTGGGCTACATAGTGAGACCCTGTCCTCAAAACACAACAAAAGCAATATGAAAACAGGCTCGGGGCACAATGCCTGTAATCCCAGCACTTTATGAGGTGGATACAAGAAGCTCTGAAGTTCAAAGTCATCCTCAAACACACAATGAGTTCACAGCCAACCTGGGATGAAACCCCATCTTTAAAAAGCAAAAAGCATTACAGGGATCAGGGACAGGCATGGTCACTCAGACTAGGCTCCAGTCAAACAGACCTGGGTTGAAATCGTAGCCTATCACACATACTGCTTTGGAGTCCTGATCTCCACACCTTTTAAGTGGAGGCGCTTATAGCTTCCTCTCAAGGCTGCTGGAAAGGTGAGAACACATGTATGAGAACTCATAACACGGTGTCAAACACCAAGCATGAGCTGGCTCACTAAATGACAGCCATGTGCCTCCCTGGCCTCTGTTTCCTGCCACCAACTCCATGAGATCCCTGTGAGCCTGTTAAACTCCATGCTCAGCCTTCTTGGCATGGGCTTCTGATCCCTGGAATGAAAGGCCACACTGTGACTAACAGAGGCAGGGCCAGGGTAGGTACCAGCAGATGTTTTACTCAAACTTCATTCCACAAGTATTTGTGGAGCAACTATGTCAGGCCCTGGACTAAGGGCTACGTAAACAATAGGAAGCAGTCAGTCCTGCCCAGCCTTGTGGGGCTTATAGTCTAAATGTAAGTAAATATTACCCAGGCTGGCAGTGTAACTCAGTGGTAGAGAGCTTGCCTGGCATGCCTGATGCCCTGGGTTCAAACCCAAGTACTAGAGGATTAAAAAAAAAAGGGGGGGGAGGGAGGGAGGAAGAGAGGAAGCATGCAAGGAAGGAAAGATAAACCACTGCAATCTGAGTGCCAGAAGGTGATGTGGAGAGGTGACATTTAAGATGTTCTTTCAGGATGAGAAGTCAGCTACTGATACAGACAGAGCACAAACAAAGGTCCTGAGAGAGAAATTCAGCTGGTTCAGGTACTGCAGAAGGACCAACAAATTAGCCGTGTTGAATGGAGGAAGGACCTTGCTGACACTGGAGGGGTAGGGTAGCAGGCTCACTTACCATAGGCCCTCATAGGTCACACTCAAGAGAACAAACTGACTGGGGTGCAGCAGAACACCTTCAGAAGAAAGTGCTGTGCTTGGAGAAGGATGGACTGGGGAAGGGGGGGAGAGGCCATGGGTCATAAGCCCAAGTGGAAGAATGGCTGAATAGTAACCTGGGCTGAAATAGTGGGAGGCTGCTTTCCCCAAATCAGCAGCCTGATTCACACTGAGGATTGACTTTGGTCTTAGGGAAGTTTCCAGAGTGCCCTTTTAGAATCCTACACCCATGGCGGGCAGTGGTGGTGCACTCCTTTAATCCCAGCACTCAGGAAGCAGAGACAGGCAGATCTCTGTGAGTTTGAGGCCAGTCTGGTCTACAGAGCAAGATCCAGGACAGGCTCTAAAGATACACAGAGAAACCCAGTCTTGGAGGAAGAAAAAAAGAAAAAGAAAAGAAGAATCCTCCACCCTCTCCTGAACACCTCTTCATCCAGCCCTAGGGGACTTCTCACAAGATGTTTGTCCACTGGCAGGGTCTGTGCAGCTGCAGCAGTAAGACTTTCCCAGCACCTGAGCCCGAGCTCATAGGAAAAGGAAGGAAAGAAATCAACAGTGCCTACCTAGCAGATGCCATCCCCAGCCTAGACCAAGACACAGGAAGAATATGACAATGGGAAAAAATGTGACTACACAGGCAGAACAAAGGGACAGCTACAGGCATAGGTTAAACTCACATACCTGATGCTACCGCTATCACTAGCAGGCACCTCGGGCATGTTAACTAACCCCTGGAGGCTCAACTTCTCCATTTACCAGACGGGCATGACTATATCTTCTGCCAGGGCAATGGCCAGAGTAAAAAGTCTGTACACAGAAAGCAGCAGGACTCAGCATCTAAAGGCAGCCAAGCTCATTTAAATTCTCTGTCCCAGGCCTGAAAAGAGTGGGAAGATGTGACAGGGGTGACAATATGGCAGCCCAGAGCAGGTGCTAGAACAGAAAGAGGACATTCATGGAAAAGTGATGAGCCGGAAATAAAGCCTAGATTAGTTCACAGTGACTGATGGACCCACACTGGCTTCATGGTTTTAACAAGCATGCACTGACAACATGGGACTCTAACAAGGTCAATTAGGTAGTAAATACAAGGAACGCTGTACTATCCTTATAAATCATTCCAAAATTTATGTCATTAGAAAAGTTCCCTGTAATCCCAGTAATTGGGAGATAGAAGCAGGAGGATTGGGAGTTCAAGGTCATCCTTGGCTACATACAAAGGTTTAGCTGGGGCTACAAAAAGAGAGCCTGTCTTAAAAAAAAAAAAAAAAAGTTTTTTAAAGAGGAAAAGTCCAAAGCTCAATCCATAGCACATAGTAAGTATATAATAAATGATACGCACTATACAACATTGAGTATAGTGATTGCCTACTATCTGCCCATCACAGAGACAGCTGTTCTATTGTTATCTGAGAATCACTACAGCCCAGGGTCACAAGACCAGTAGTCAACCATACAAGAGGACGCCAGGGCTCTGGAGGCTCACTCACTGGACACTCCATAGCCTCCTCCAGCCCATGACTGCAGAGTAGTCAAGTTGTGAGCACACAAGCCTACAGAGGTGTAGGTGACAAAGGGTAAGGCTCAAAACTGACACTCACTGGGAAATCTTGAGTAAGTCTGTGATACACAGAAGGAAGTTGGTGCCTACAGTGCCTGAGTCTCTCCAAATCGCCTATCTGAGCCCCTGAAGTTGAATGGCACCCACAAGCAAAGCACACAGGAGAATGAGAGCTATCCTCCACCTCACACGGCCGGCTGTCCGGGACACCAAGAGACAAACTGCCTAACCTCTGGGCAAACCAAGTCACAAAGTCCTTCCTCCCACAAGTAACAGACTTCCTTCCTCCAGACAAAACAAGGACAAGCCATACTGGCCACTACCGCACTATTCTTTGGGCATTCTGCAAACATCTCCTTCATAAAAGTCCTCACCCTGTGTTGACATCACACCCATTTTACAGACAGCAGAGGCTCAGGTCATCCAAAATCGACAACTGAAGAGGAATCAGAAGTCGCCCCCACCACCACCACCACTTTCACAGTCTCATCCCTTTCTCCTTTATGGTTCCTGGCTTAGACAAGCCTCCCCGAGGTGGCAGAAGGGAAGGGATCTGCAGGACCTACCCCTTTTGGTCACAGCAAAAGGCAATGGGACTGGGCTTTCCCCTCAGAATGACTGAACTTCCCTTTCCCAGGATCTGTAGCGCGGGAACAGAAGAGAGACTGGGAAGTGAAAAATTGGGGGTGAAGGAGACTCAGTGGCTTTCAACCAGGAGCGGCGGGATCATACGGCTGGCCCTCAGTCTCTTGGTGGCCAAGTGTGGACCTCCAGGCCTGATTCAACCGTCCCACCCGCAGGAAGACCTCAGAGTCAAGCAGAAAACAGGGAAAGGGAACAGTAGGTCATGCAACGAATCACAGGCTGAGAACCTGGGCCTGGGCCAATGCGATCGCATTGCTGCTTTGCACCCAGAAAGGATGGTAAAGAACGAAATCAGAGACAAGTCCCTCCAGGATAATCGGGACCCAGCAGCACTCACGCGCTTCGGGCCGAGCCGTGCAGGAGCAGCGGGACCCAAGAGCAACAAGCCCAGCACCACCAGCAGCGGTACACGATGCATGACGACGGTCCTCGCGGTCGGTCTAAGCACTGCAGCTTCACGGGTGCCTTTAAAGCCTGCAGGTGCCTTTAAAGCCTGCTATGCAAAGCCTGGCCGGCGCTCAACGCTCCGCCCCGCGCTGCCCAGATTGCAGGCCCCAGTAAGGATTTCTCTGGCCACGCCCCTAGCACCGCCCACTTCAGCCCCACCCTCAACGGCCTCCTGAAGGGGCAGAGCCAGAGGAGCAAGGGGAGGAGCTGAGTGAAGACTAAACAAGCTCTATGAGAGGCGGGGCCGATTGAGGACGGAACTGAGGGAAAGGGGCTAGGATAAGAGGGCTGGAAAGGGCCGAGATGAGGGGCGGGACTGCGTGAGGGGTGTGGCTAAGAGAAGGAAGGGAAGGGAGGGGCAGGGCCGAGCGCGAGAGTGGGGCTGAATGCAGAAGCAGTTTTTAACGCGCGGGAGGGGGAGATGGGCGGTGCTTGCTGGGGCGAGGCAAAGCGCTCCCGCAGGCTATCGTCCTAAACCTCCGGGTTCGGATTTTTTCTCCATCCCAGGTCCTTCCCTGCAGAAACGCAAAGGTCCTTTTCAGTTTCCCGTTCCCCTGTACTGACTTTTAACAACATCTGCCAGGCCCCTGGGGCTTTTTGAGAGTTCGGAGGAAGCACCTGCGCCTGAGGCTTAGGCGAGGGAGCGGTGGCGCTCGTCGCGATCCGCAATCTTCTACTAAAACGCCTAGTTTTACTTTCCAGAGCACAAACAAAATGCCAAGAAATGTCTGTTGAGAAGACAGAGGTAGCAGACCCTGGCACTGCAGCAGCCCGAGCCTGCAGTTCGAGGCCGCCACTAGGGCCAAACCCCATGAACTTCGTCGTTGAAAAGAATTTCAGGACTAGCCGTATGGTGAAGCCGAGTTGGTGGTTTTATTAAAAATATTTGAATATAAGTTTAAGCCTGAGGCTTATGAGACAAAAATGGCCCCCAATGTTAATGGTAGAACCACGTTCCAACCAAGGCCCCCTCCCCTGTCTCCAGACCCTGCTGCTTCTCAGAAAGCCCGCCAAATGATGATCCATTAAACGTGGGCTTTTTAAAATTTGGTCTGATTTGGATTACTGCATCGGCGGATAGACTTATCCGTGTGTAGAAACTTTTCACCCAGAACAAAGTCAAGACACACTGGAGAGTTGTTTGTGGTCTTCTCAAAGACTCTCATTTCAAGAGTCTTCATTCTATTTGCAAGATTTTGGAAGCTTTTTGGAATTCCATTTCTCCACGCATTTCTGGGAACCCCAGACCTGTTTCTTTGATAACTAAGGTTACAGGTTGGCTCCAGAGGTGTCTTGGGCAGGGTTCCAAGCTGGTCAGCTAAAACCAGAAGCCACTGAACTTGCACAGGAGGCGGAGTGCATGTGCTTTTGGTAAATGGATTTTCTAGTTAAGATTGATTGTAGAGTTACAGCTAGGGGTGACCGCCTTAAACAATAGTTGATCGTGCTGGGATTCTTGCTTTTCTGCTCCAACCAGATTCCAGGAGAAGGGACTCCTTTTTTCCTTATCTCCCCCATTTTCCTTATCTTTCTTAGCTGGGCGGTGGTGGCACATGCCTTTAGTCCCAGCACTAGGGAGGCAGAGGCAGGTGGATGGATCTCTGTGAGTTCGAGATTAGCCTGGTCTAGCTCAACCTCCAAAGCCACAGAGAAACCTTGTTTCGGAAAAACCAAAAGGAAAGAAATCAGTGTGATTTGTCTTCAGTCTGAGGTACCCTTAGAATCTCAGGGTCACAGATAAGCACAAGGTTGAGGCACCTCTCTATCATCTGTTTGTCTGAAAACTGTGAGCCTTGGAAAGAAAGCTATAGGCAGTCCTCTGAAGCCAAGAAAAAGGAGCTGGCTGCCCTGCCGGCACATGCCTTTAATCCCAGCACTCAGGAAACAGAGGCAGGTGAATCTTTCTGAGTTTGAAGCCAGCCTGGTCTACACAGGGAAGGGAAACCCTTTCTCCAAGAAGGAAAAAGGAGCAACCTCAAGCCCTAAGATGCTTATTAGATAAAACTGTCCTAAACCAATAAATTGCACAATTTGGGGAGGGAGCTACTCTAAAAGAATGCAAGGATGGTACCTGAATCCCAAATAGAGGAGAGGGGAGGAATTTTTATAGTTGGGACTTGAAAACCACTCAGCACCCAGCCATTTTTGCCTTGTCTCTATGTCCCTTTCTGCATAATGGTTTCATTTTCACTATAAAGTGAGGGGGTCCTGTTTCTCACTTTAATCTTGCCTCAGAAATATTCCTTCAAATAACCATAAGAAAGTTCCTAATGAATAGCCAGTGCCTGACAAAACTGTCATAAAATGTCTTTTAAGTTACATTTTTGTTTATTTTGTGTGCTTGTGTGGGGGTCAAAGGACAATCTGTGAGGGAGTTTGTTCTTTCCTTCTGCCCTGTGAGTCCCAGATAACAAATTCAGATTGGAAGGCTTGGCAAGCAAACACCTTAACCTGATAAGCCATTCTCACTGGCCTGAAATAATAAATTGTTGTTGTATATGGGCAGTGGTAGCACACACCTTTAATCCCAGCACTCAGGAGGCAGAGGCAGGCAAGCAGATCTATGTGAGTTCGAGGCCAGCCTGGTCTACGGAGCAAGCTCCAAAACAGCAAAGTCTACATGGAGAAACTCCTATCGTGGAAGAAACAAGGATCGGGGAAAACAGGCTGATAGATGTTTTATTCAGGGAGAAATCACAACAGAGAAAGATGACTGCCAGCAGGTTCCTGTCCCAAAGATGCCTCAGGATGCTATCTGTCTCTGACCAGGAAGTATGAGAGAGCCTCTGGGGTCACCGACCCCAGACCTAGTTCTCCCAGGTCATGTCCACACCTGTCCCCACCCCCAATGGGTGTGGTCCGTGCAACAGGTGCAGGCTGGAGTGAATATCTCACTACAAACTCAGTCTCAAAAAACAAACAAGCAAAAAAACACATAAGTAAATTTCACTTTGGTATTAATTTTTAATTTATTTTTTAAAGCTGCAAAAATAGGCCTGAACTCTTCCAGTTTTCCTTTTGTTCATATTGCAATACATTTTATATGCTTAAGAACATGACAAATACAAAAAAAGAACATGACATTGATTCATCATTATTAACTAGGCTTTATACTTTACCTGACGTTTTTCTCATAATAAAATCTCCTTAATGACACATAAATGCAAGTATGGGATGAGAAAGGAAATACTCCTTGCCCAATGTTATATATATACTGTGGCTGAATCCACTGCTTGTTGGGATTGCCAATGTGGCCTTGCATTTGCTGAATGGGTAGGAATGAGTTACCAACCCTGGACATGCTGGAACATCACACAAAATAGGCAGACTCCCTTTGGGTATCATTTATTCGTCCATACAGTTGCCTGTAAAGGGCTTTCTTTGGATCACTAGTTCCCCAATGACACAGACTTATTATTAATTATGAAAACTTGCCTTAGCTTAGGCTCTTCCCATGATAACTTCAATTAGCCTGTTTCTATTAATCTATGTTCTGCCATGTGGCTTTTTACCTTTCCCTCATTCTGTGTGCCCGACTCCCTCTGTGTCTTCCTGGTGTATCACTTCTCTTCTTCCCTGAGTTCCTCTCTCTCCCTGGAAATCCCACCTATTCTCTCCTGCCTAGCTATTGGTCATTCAGCTCTTTATTAAATCAATCAGGTGCCTTAGTCAGGCAAGGTAAAACGGTGATACATCTTTACACAGTTTAAACAAATATCCCACAATAGTTGCCAAGTCCTTACACCCCAAGGCATCACCCACTTTCTCCTGATTCCTAAACCTCCATCATCTCATCTGAACACCCTCCAACATCTAAGAGGTCTGTGGCCTTGGGAAGTTGGAAGGTTGCTTCTCACAGCTACCATAGAAGGTTGAGAGGTGAGCAGACACAATCCTTCAGATTTGTGTAGCTGTTACCTTCCCCATGAATGACCTTGAAGGAAATTCTAGAACCCCACAGATGCAGTGACTGGAAAGCAAGACCACTACCATAATGGAAGGAGAGATGGGACACAGTGGTTTGGATTGATTGGATCCAATAGGAAATGCAATGAAATATGGGTTTTCCTTCTTAAGATCTTGCAAAAAAATGGGTTGGGGCCATTTCCTGGGAACCTGGGTATGGACCTGGCCAGAGCCCACCCACCTGACCAGTATTTAATTAAAGCTTGCTTCAAAGTAGTCTTATTCTCAATCAGTGGGATGTACAGCATGCCTATGATAACCCCAGCAGTCTTGAACCTCCTGCCTCCATTTTCCCAAAATTGTACTCCATTTTGGTTTTTGTTTGTTTCTTTGTTTTGTTTTGTTTTTTGCTTTGGTCTGGTGTTTTGGTTTTCTGAAAAAGGTTCTCACTATGAAACTCTGTCTAGCATTGAACTTGCTGCATAGACCAGGTTGGTCTTGAACTCACGAAGACCCACCTACCTCTGTCTTTTCAAGTGTTGGTATCAAAAGCATGCACCACCATGCCCAGCTTCTTTTATTTTCACTCAGCATTCTTACTTAATCTTTTAAGATTAGGTAACAGCTCTTATCTCTATGTCATGTGTTGATGTACTTTTATAATCCTAGCAATTCAGAGGCTGAGGTAGATTGCCAGGAATGTGAAGCCACCTGGGCTATATAGTGAGTTCCAGGACTTAGACAATGGGTCTTATCCAAGTCATAATTGTTCTGTCTGTGGTGTGTGTGGAGGGGGGGGTGGTCTGACTTTAATTAAAATCAGGGAAATGAAGTGTTACTTGCCCTTTTTCTTTTATGTATATGAGTGTTCACCTATGTATCTGTATGTGCTCAAGGTACCTGTTAAGAAGAGGCCCTGGGTCCCTTGCATCTGGAGTTACAGATGACTATGAAGCCACCATATGGGTGCTGAAAACCAAACCCAGGTCCTTGGCAAGAGTAGCCAGTACCCTTAACCACTGAGCCATCTCTCCTGTCTCATGTTGTTTGTTTGTTTTTGATATTTTGGTTTTTTTGAGATAGGGTTTCTCTGTGTAGCCCTGCCTGTCCTGGAACTAGCTCTGTAGACCAGGTTGGCTTTGAACTCACAGAGATCCACCTGCCTCTGCTTCCTGAGTGCTGGGATTAAAGGCA